TCTTTCTTTCTTTCTTTCTTTCTTTCTTTCTTTCTTTCTTTCTTTCTCTTTCTTTTCTTGCTCCCTCCCTCCTTCCCTCCCTCCCTCCCTCCCTTCCTTTGTGAGGATAACTCTAAAAAGTAGATAAGTGTAAGTCAAAGTGGGCAGAGCCAGAAGAGGGGAAAATCCGGTATTTGATTTCAGCTAATTTCATATTTAAATTATGTTATATTACTGTTCACGAAAATATTCCCCATATATTTAAACACGTTTCCCTTCCACCTCATTCTATCACATGTTGGGATTGCAACACTCTTGCCATTTCCTTAAACTGGGGAAAATGTCTTATTGAATAGACATGGGGACCATTTGGGCTGGCTTTGCCCTAAATAGCAATAGCACTAGACTTATATACCGCTTTATAGTGCTTTTACAGCCCTCTCTAAGTGGTTTACAGAGTCAGCCTATTGCCCCCAATAATCTGGGTCCTCATTTTACCCACCTCGGAAGGATGGAAGGCTGAGTCCACCTTTGCTTCTAAAACCTGGTTTTTTTTTTATTCTGCTCCTCTATCCTTCATTGGTTGGCCTCCCAAGAAGAGACCAGGCCTACTTTCCGGCTGCAGCCAAAACTGAATTAAGGCTTGACACAATGTTAATTCAAGGACTATAATTATTCTGGAGATGAGTTTTCCTATTTGGGGCAAGACTATTATTGTAATTGGTAGCATGTGGCACGAACTCTTTCATCTGGGTAAGGTTCAGGCCATCCTGCATTACAGGCATACCTTGTTTGTTTGCACGTAACCTTGTCAGACTGTGGTTGACTTGCCCTGCTCATTCTGTTCTCAAGTTGTTAGCATTAGCCAGGAGCGTGCCTGCTCTCTTTCAGGCTCACAAAGGTGTTGTTTTCATATCATTTGCATTTTCAGAACAGCTAAACCAAGCCCCAGGCTCATAAAGGTGCTCTCCAAACACCTTTCCCTTCTTCGTATCGTTATGCTGAAGTATAATCAACCAAACACAAGCTAGACAGCCATTTCCCAGAAGACTGGCTGGTACCAAATTTGTCTGAGAACAAATATATCCTTCGGAATTCAGGATACAGTGTTTAAACAATTATATCATGTAACACAGCTAAAAGGAGGAAGGAGGAAATGAAATTACATTCAGATCTTATGGTAGGCAAGATTTCTTTTTGGCATCCTTATTAATATTATTAAGGATGTAATTATTAATTACATTAATTATATATTAATAATTGATTAAGGATGTAAGGGGGCATGCATAAGAGCACCAATGTGTCTACCATCCCTGTCCTAACGTCCCCTTTTATTGTTACCCATTTCATGTACTAATAATCACGTTCCTAAATTATATATGTTATCTAAAACATGCTTGACAAAACAAATAAATAAAATAAAAATAAATATTAAGCTAAGCAATGGTTAAAGTTCCTTTACAGGTGGTCCTCGACTTCCAATCTCAGTTGCGTCCAAAATTTCCATTGCTCAGCAAGGCAGCTGTTAAGTGAGTTTTGCCCCACCTTACGACCTTTTTCCCCACTGTTGTTAAGAGAATCACTGCGGTTGTTAAGGGAATCAAGCAGTCGTTAAACAAACCTGGCTTTCCCCCCATTCGCTTGACGGAAGCCAGGTGGGAAGGTTACAAATTGTGATTTCATGGCACTAAGAAGTTGCCAGGAGGCCTGAATTTTGATCACGTGACAATGAAGATGCTGAACAGACATAAGTGTGAAAGATGGTCATAAGTCACTCTTTTCAGTGCCCTTGTAACCTTGAAAGCAGGGGTGGGATTCTACCAGTTCGCACCTATTCGCTAGAACCGGTTGTTAACATTCTAAGCAGTTCAGAGAACCAGTTGTTAGAAGAAATTGCTGGCCTAATCCTGTAAGGAAGGCAGGAACGAAACATTCTGGTGTTGCTTACAGAAACTGCCTCTCCGTTAACCTTATTACATTCTTGGAAGGACTAGACTTCCTGGAGTTTTTTTCCCCTCCTTTGCTGGTACTTTGCTTGTGTGGAGTGACCATTCAAAGTTACAATGGCACTGAAAAAAGTGACTTATGGCCGTTTTTCATACTTGTGACTGTTGCAGCATCCCCACAGTCAAGAGAAGCCAAGTAAGGAGATGCATGCCTCGTTGTGATATTGAGTTGGTCAAGCCCAGCCAATAACATGACGACCAAGTCATGTCCACCCAGTCACATGACCACCAAGCCACACCCACCACCTAAGCCATGCCCACAGAACCGGTTATTAAAAATTTTGAATCCCACCCCTGCTTGAAAGGTCATTAAACAAGTGTTTGTAAGTGAAGAACTACCTGTAGTTTGAAAATTGTTCTATTTCTGCCAACGCCCATCTTTTCTTAACAACATGGGATTATTCCTAACTGCTTTTCAGCATGAAGAGTGCATGAATGAAGTTATCCAGTGGCACGATTTGTGACAAAATCACTCTATTTCCTAGATGGAGACCAGTGGTGGGATTCAATTTTTTTTATTTGCGGTCCTGTGGGTGTGGCTTGGTGAGCATGGCAAGGGAAGAATATTGTAAAATCTCCAGTCAAGAGGTGGTATTTGCCGGTTCTCCAAACTACTCAAAATTTCCGCCACCACTTCTCCAGAAGTGGTCAGAACCTGCTGAATACCACCTCTGATGGAGACATTGGCAGCAAATTGTCTCAAACTATTTTGAATTTCAAATCTGCATTTTTAATTATTCTTGCCCTGTTTAATATTGTTACATTCGGTTTTTATGCGTTTTAACATTTGTACGCCACCCAGGGCTTCTCTCTCTTAAGGGAGACGGGTGGTTTCTAAATGCGAGAAATAAATAAAATAAAAAATTTATGGATTAGGGCTTACATTTCAAAAGTTTTAGAAGCTTTCAGGTTCAGAAAGTTGTTTTAGCTCTCTTGAAAATATTGTACGTCGGTGTGCGGAGATCATCTTTATCAGGAACCCAGTGAGGACAGGTGGGAAATTATATCATTATAAAGCTATTTCATTTAGATATAACATTACAACAAATAACTGTTTTCTCAATAAATGTTAATTGTAATGCTGTTAAAAATGAATGAAAAATAGATGAGCAGAAAGATGGCATTTTGTCCATTATTTGTCCATTTTGGCATTAGTGATTCTCTTTTTTCCTCTGTGTTTTTATTGATCAAATGTTGCAGACTTGCTGGAACCAGTCTAATGCAGTATTAGAAGAAAAGAAGCAAAATGCCGGACAGGAAACTTTTAGGCCTTTAGCCTCCTCTAGGAAGAGGTAAAAAAAAACAAACAATGTGCATTTTTACAAGAGACTCCTTGACTTGTTTATGGGAGAAGGTGAGAGTCATATGCCATCTACGTAACTTATATTCCCAGAATTGCAAATCTTGGTATTCTTTAATGAATGCACATACTGCCTACACTGGAAATGCTAATAAGGATGGCATCCAACCAGCAACGAATGATTAAAGTGGGAACATTTAGATCCAAATATCATTTAGATACTGCTTCTTTCACTGGGATCTAGTCATTATCACATTCAAGCAGAATATTGTAGAACTTGAATTTATTTGCGACTATCAGAACCATGATGAAAAATAATTGAAAAAATATTTGAATGAGCAGAAATGAATAGATTGACACTAGAAATTAAAGAAAAAGAAGAATCTGAATATTATATGGTATGGGATTTGATTTAACAATGGATAGAAAATAGAACAAAACAGAGGTGGTATTCAGCAGGTTCTGACCAGTTCTGGAGAACCGGTAGCGGAAATTTTGAGTAATTTGGAGAACTGACAAATATTACCTCTGATAGGAGATTTTGCAGTATCCTTCTCCTGCCATGCCCACCAAGCCATGCCCACAAAATCTGTAGTAAAAATTTTTGAATCCTACCACTGGAACAAACTAAAAGGGATTAGATATACTTATAAAGTACATATAAAGTAATAAGAGGAATTAATGTAATAATAGATATATTGGATCTCATTTATACTACTTATATGGGAATGTGATTATGTTGTTAAGATGAATAAGAATATTATTAATAATGGATATGTAATTTGAAATAAGTACCTAATCGACACACAATTGAAATGGAATGGATTTTTTGTATATAATTTTTTTTTTTTAAAAAAAGGACTATGGTGGCCTGGTGGCTCAGTGGTTAAGATGCTGGGCTTGTCAGCTGGAAAGCTGGCAGCCTGAGTTCAAGACCTGAGTGCCACATGACAGGGTGAGTCCCGTCTTTGCCCCAGCTCCTGCCAAACAAGCAGTTTGAAAGCATGCAAATGCAAGTAGATAAATAGGTACCCACTTAGGTGGGAAGGTAACAGTGCTCTGTGTTGTCATGCTGGCCACATGACCATGAAAATGTCTTTGGATAATGCTGGCTCAATGGCCTTGAAACAGGAGATGAGTTGGCAACAACTAGCTAAGTAAAATTTGCAGGGGCTCCTTTATCAGGATTATACAGCACTTCAGACTGCAAGGCAAAAAGATGTACTGAAGGGCCCAGGGGCACAAACATGGCACCTCTCTTGCACTTCCTTGAAGCAGCAGCTCCCTGTCTCAAGAAAGGAACAAGAAGTTTGGATGAAGGGAAAATGTGACAATTACATTCAACAGTAGATTCCACTATTCAGAATAAAAGTACAAATGACAAGATTCCTAAGACATGGGTTGGTATCAAAGGCCCCGAGACTTTTATAATAAGTGAGGTATTTTTATTTGTTTATGTTAGTCTTTGCCCCCACCATGACTAAATAGAGAAGTCTTTTTTGTTTTCTTGGCAATGTTTCAGGTGGTTTACCATAGCTTTCTTCATAAGACAGAGAGAAAGGGACCGGCCCAAGCTTTCAGGTTTAAGGCAAGTATAAACCTCACCATTTCCTGCTTCCTATGCCAGCATCTTAACTATCAGACCAAACTGGTTCTCGGTCAATAATTACATAAATATAAATACAGATGCTTCACAACTTACAACAGTTTTATTAGTGAGTCATCAAAGTTACAACGGCACTGAAAAAAGAGACATATGACCAGTCCTCACACTTATGACCATTGTAGCATTCCCCATGGTCACGTGATCAGAATTCAGATGCTTGGAAAACTGTCTCAAATTTATGACGGTCGCAGTGTCCCGAGATCCTATGATCCCCTTTTGCAACCTTCTGACAGGCACAGTCAATGGAGAAACCAGACTTCACAACCGTGTGAGTCACCTAACTTCAGTGATTCACTTAACTACTTTGGCAAGAATGGTTGTAAAATGGGGCAAAACTCCCCTAACAACTGTCTCGCTTAGCAAAGGAAATTTTGGGCTTCGTTGTCATCATAAGTCAAGGACCACTTGTACTGCACATCTATGCCTTCAGAAATTAAAATCAGTGAACATCCAAATTTCAAGCGGACAAGGACCTCCCATTGGGTCGGGAGAGAGCCCATATTACAAGATTTGAGAGGGTCTGTCCTTGAATCTGGTTTGCCACAGGTGCTTCTCAGCTGCAATTTACAATTTTCCCACTTCATAATAAAAGTGTTTTTTCAGGTTTAGAAGTGGACACTTTGAAGTCACAGATTCTCTAAGGAGCAAGTCATCTTCCCAACAATAGAAATGGTAACATCTGGGAAGCTTTTGTTCTTAACAAGCTCTCTTTATGTGTATAGCACAGGGGTGTCAAACTCAAGGCCAGCGGGCCGGATCTGGCCTGCAGGATGCTTAGATCTGGCCCATGGGGACAGCCTTGAAACAAGCGAAGGACCGGCCCGCAGTGCCCCTGACAGTGAAAATGGGCTTCCAATCTCCGTTTTAGGCTGGGACAACCTCCTGCAACCCTCTGCCAGTGAAAACAATGTTCGGGAGGGCCGCATGCAGTTAGGGTTAGGGTTGCATGCGGCCCTCCCAAACTCTGTTTTCACTGGCAGAGGGTTGCAGGAGACTGTCCCAGCCTAAAACAGAGATTTGGAGCCCGTTTTCATTGGCAGAGTACTCAGGCCACCCCAAATGGCCCTAACACAAGTGATGTCAAGCTGGCCACACATCCCCAGACCACACCCATCCTACCCGAGGTCAAACACAACCCTGATGCAGCCCTCAGTGAAATCAAGTTTGATACCCATGATATATATATAGAGAGAGATACAGATATAATTACCTAACAAAGGCAATTGCTTGAGCAGTTATTCATCGTCTCAGTCAGTTTTAAGAGTAAAACAGAAATAAAGCCATTACCCTTCCAGTAGCTTCCATCGCTTTCTTGTCCTGAGATGCAAAGCCTACCAGCATTCGAGACTGCACCATTCCTGACAAAGCCAAGAAAGGCAAGAAGCAGGTTATGACTAAGCTGAGTTTCCAGCTGAAGTAGAAAGCGATAATAATGGACACTCCGATATTGGTGAGCGAGTTCACAATCATGCCTATCTGTGTGCCAGTTGCCTAGGAAAGGAAGGAGATCAATCAGTCAATCATCTGCAGCTTCTCTGACCAAGCTTGGCTCTACAGATACCATAGAGGCAACACAATATTTCATTGTATATGTCCCACCGTCTGCCTTACTCCATTCTGTTACTCAGTCACTGACATAGAAAATCACTGCATTTGTTTACATGAAAAGGAGTGAGCCATTTTGGCATCTATCTCAGATCTCGGAGTATCTTAGGCTGGCCTTATTCTCTCATGAAAAGCATGAGAAGTGCCATTAGTTTTTAGTTTACTTTATTGTCATTGCACCTCCTACAACGAAATCAGTGCACATCATGAACATGAAAATAAACACAAACAAACATCCTTCACCCTCCACACATTGAACCGGAAACCCCCAACACCAGACCAACATTGCACTATACAGCAGAATTCAAAAGAGCTACCGCCCTGGGATAGAAGCTGTTTTTCAACCTATTTGTCCTTGTTTTTATTATCCTGTACCGTCTGCCAGATGGTAATAGTTCAAAAAAAAGGGTTCCCAGGATGAGATGGATCTTTGAGAATGTTTTGAACTTTCTTAAGGCAGCAGGAGCTATAAAGCTCTTCCAAAGAGGGGAGAGGGCAACCAATGATCTTCTGGGCAATGACACTAACCCTCCGGAGTGCTGTCCCATCAGCCACTGTGCAATTGGCAAACCATACAGAGGTGCACTATGTTAAAATGCTCTCTATGGTGCAGCGGTAGAAGGTCACCAGCAATTTCTCATTCAGTTGTTGTTTTCTGGGAAGCCACAGGTGGTATAATCTCTGCTGGGCCCTTTTGACCAGGGCTGCAATGTGGGCAACCACATTAGCAGCAAACTCTGGAAGAATGAAAAGGTCATGACTTCCATCTGACCTACTGCCAGCTCTTTTTATTTTTCTCACCTATGTACAGGTAGTCCTCAACTTACAGCAGTTTCTTTAGTGACCATTCAAAGTTACAACGGCACTGAAAATAGTGACTTATGGCCATTTTTCACCCTTAGGACCTTTGCAGCATCCTGATGGTCATGCGATTTACATTCAGATGCTTGACAACGGACTCATATTTATGACGGTTCCAGTGTTCAGGAGTCATTTTGCGACCTTCTGACACGCAAAGTCAATGGAGAAGCCAGATTCACTTAACAACCATGTTACTAATTTAATAACTGCAATGATTCACTTAACACAGGGGTGTCAAACTGGCGGCCCACGGGCTGGATGAATCATGCGCAGGCCACGCTCACCCCGGTTCCACAAAGGCAAAAAATGTTGTGATACATCAAGCGATATGATCGAGTTTGATGTGGCAAGAGAAACCATAAAATGAAACAAGTTCACTTCACAAATTTTTCACTTAGCAACATAAATTTTGGGCTCAATTGTGGTCGTAAGCTGAGGCTTACATGTATCCCAGACAACCTCTTGTTTTTCTAACTGCAAAACAAGCCCATCAGCTACAACTTCACTACTATTTATATTCTTTCTCTGCTATATTCACTGCTCTGTTTTATTCTTGGTTTTTCAACTTGTAGTAACCTCACAAGAGGGGTAGCAAAGGCAAAATTGGTGTAAAGTCATCTTTACGATGGCGGAATCGCCAGCTAGAGTAAAAAGATAGTCTAGCTTGGAATGGCTCCAGAGCAGTGGTGGGATTCAATTTTTTTTTACTACCGGTCCTGTGGGTGTGGCTTGGTGGGCATGGCAGGGGAAAGAATACTGTAAAATTTCCAGTCAGAGGTGGGATTTGCCGGTGCTCTGAACTACTCAAAATTTCCACTACCGGTTCTCCAGAACTGGTCAGAGCCTGCTGAATCCCACCTCTGACTCCATGGGAAGAAAGCGGCAGAGGCCAGACTCTTGAAAGCTTTATCTGCCTGTTCCTGAGAGAATACAGTTAGCCTGGCAAGTCTCTTGTAAATAAATAAGTGGTCAGCAATAAAGAAACTACTTTGGTCTACTCACAGTATTGTTCTGGTTCCATGTGTCTGACAATTACTGATGTAAACAGAATGTTTTGCTCCCAACTATCAGACCAGAAGCGGAGCTTCAAAGGGGAAAACATAGTTTTCCCTATGTGTGCTACAGAAGATGACTAAGGAAAGTGTGTGGGTTGGGTTTTTTTTCTGAATAGGTTGTAGTGTTCTCCTGCCAGGGAAGATAAATTTCAGTAGACTTCAATAGAACTGATGTCCACGCATCTTCAAGTTGCCAAAGTTGAGAAACACTGCGGAGCCCGGGCGTGAATGAATGAGCAAAGACAAAGGCCTTATATTATAGAAAGTATTGCTCTAAAAATTGCAGCTGATCTTTGCTTCTCGTTCATTTTAACACCCAGTTCTTGAAGACTGCTTTGTGCCCTTGGATGGGCAGATAATAATTTTACCACTGGGTTTTAATGGCTAGCCTTGTCTCCTCTCATTGTTTTGCATGATTGTTTTGATGAAATCATAATTTTAAATGTTATAAAGTTGCTTTGAGCAGCGGCGTTTGCCGCAGAAAAGCAGGAGAGAAAGGCTTCATAAAATACGTCGGAATAAATCATGCAAGCCTTCCACCGGCTGATGAAAAGGCTATAATGAAGATACAGATTTACAGCTGCAATGAGAAGTAGGGCCTTAAATGCTTCAGAGATCTGAATGCCGTGTATTCATAATGCCTTGGAAGCTTCTTGTTTTATCACATTAATAATTATAAATATACTGGATATTGTGTCCGTGGCCAGGGGTGGGCTGCTGGGGGCTCGCAGGGGTTCGGGAGAGCCCCTAACTAAGACTCTGTGCAGTTTGGAGAACCCCCAAATCCCATTCCTGGCTGGCCCCACCCACCCCGCCCCTCCCCTCCCAGGAGTCCCCACGTGGCCCGTTTTGGATGTAGGTAAGTGCAGGGCGTGCATGGAGGCTCGGGGAGGGTGAACCCCCCCCCCCACTGTGGTGCAGGAGGCCAACTAGGCCCCATCATGGCCATGTCCACCTAGCAACCAGGGAGAGAACCCCTTGCTAAAATTTTTGAAGCCCACCCCTGCCATCCCAGGAGGGACTCAAATTATATACTCTTCCTTTATCAGGTTTCCAAAACACCCGCTTGCTGGCAGCAATCATTATCTTGCTTCATTCTGAAGCAAATCATACTGGATGGTTTGTGAGACGACTATTAAATAAAACCTCTTACCCCTTGAACTTGAGAGGCATCCGTTGCTAGTCTCGTAGTCAAGGCCCCTGGGCTGTTTCTATGGTCATCAAACCAACCAATTTCTTGGCCTAACATCGCCTGGAAGCCAATTTTCCTTAAGCGTCGTGTAAGCAATTCTCCGGCCTTTGCAAACGTATAGCCCTGCAAGGGGTTTTGAACAAGTGTAAACCTAAGCATCTGTCCACATGTACAAAAGAAGAAGAACACAAGGGAAGGGGAGGGGGAGAGAGTAGCAAGGGAACGGGGCCCTCATGCTGAGAAGACTATTTGGTTGTCATCACCTGCAGGAACTGGGTGAAGAACGATACGATTCCAACAACCACAAAGAGCAGGCAGACACCGTTGATCTGAGCTCTTTGCTCTTCTTCATCAGTCACGGAAAAGGTCTTGGGGAAAGAAAAGGAAGTGCTGTAAGATTAAAGGTAAGTTTTTGCACAAGGCAGTTGAAAGCGCACGCTATTGAGTTTTTGTTCAGTATTTGGGCCAAAAGGTACAGTGATGTAGAAAAAAAACCACATGCTTGTGTAGCCTAATGCCTGTTCCTTTCAGCATGGTGTTTGAAATGGTTAATCAACAGGGCTGGCCATATCATTAGGTGTAAAGAATAAATATCAGGCAGCAGAATCTGAGTATTAATGTTTCCCATGCTAGTCACGTTGTGCTCGAGGCCTTTCTGGGTTGAAAAGATTAGCTGGGGACCTCACCGTTGCCAGGGGATGCCCAGTTGGAGGCTTCTGCTGTCCCCAGCAGGAACTGGAGCAAAGGATGGGAGCTGTGATGACCCGGAATGTAACACAAATGTAACAAAATCCAAAATGTAAATAAATGTCCTTTAATGTCTCCAACTTGGCCCCACTGTTCAATTATTCTCAGTTGGAGATCAAAACTTACTCAAAAGTAGTCTTCAAAAGAAAACAATGCAGTCCGAACTTAATGAGCAGACAAAGGTCAAATAAAAAACCAAACAAACTACAATGACAAAATTTCCACAACAGACCAGGATAAGTAATTACCAACTTCAAGGAGATAACAAGGCGCAGTCTATTGGAAGGATGCCAACCAAGATAACTTCAGCCCAAAATAAAACAAGCTTTGCTTCTGGCAACGCTGTGTTGTAATCGTCTCTCTTATATACTAGCCTCCCCAGCTGCAACCAATGTTGAGGATCATGGTTGCTTCCTCTCTTGTAAGCCAAGTTGTTTCCTTCTCCGTTCCTCCCTGCGTGTCCTAAGATGAAGAAGGGATGGGCCTGGTTCTTCCTCTGACTGTCCATCCGGCCTCTGCCCTTCCCCAGTTTCCTCCACAACCTCCGGAGCCACACCTCCACTCCCTATTGGCTGTTCCTCCTCTCTCTCAGAGTTTGATTCTATCAAGGGCATGACATGAGTTCAGTCTCATGGCAGCAGCTGGGTCCCGAACATGGGCATCCTAACCACGTGAACCATCATGCTCCTTCCATGCTAGCAACTATCTTGTTTTCCCCTCTTTCTCTCCTTCCCAGTTTGAGCGCACCTTACTTAATGTGTATTATCCCATCCTAAATATATCCAGTTTTAAAAGTGAAAGTTTGTTCAACCAGTGCTGTAGTTCCAGGAAACCTAACACTGCGCCCTCCCCACCCCCTTATGAAATATATCAGAAGAAATGTACATCTGTTGAGAAGGCAGCAATCTAGGTATTATTAGTAAGTGGAAAGAAAGTAATGCTGCATCAGATAAAGCCATGCAGCTCTGAAGAGGTGTAAGAGAGAGCAATAAAAAGAACAGAGAATCAGAAAGTCACAAAACCTTTAAAAGTCTAACACCTATTAATGGTTCTTCAGAGGAGAACCCAGCAGGATGAGGTCAAGTTTTTCTATTTTTCCCCTTTCTTTTCTTTGGCAACTATATGAATGAAATTGTCCCTGAATCCTCATCAAGTTAAGCGGAGACATTTAGCAAAAGTACTAGACTTATATATCATTTTATAGTGCTTTACAGCTTTCTTTGAGTGGTTTACAGAGTCAGCATACTGACCCCACCAATCTGGGTCTTCATTTTACTAACCTCGGAAGGATGGAAGACTGAGTCAACCTTGAGCCCTGTCAGGATCGAACTCCAGGCTGTGGGCAGAGTCAACCTACAATGCTACATTCTAACCCCTGCACCACAGGGGCTTCTAATTTGCCATTTACTCCCCACTTGCCCATTTACTCACTGGGGAAATAATAAATAAAATAAAAATCCATGTCTAATCCCCCCCTTTTGAAAGCTTTAAAGGAAAAAGGAAGTGCTAGGAGCTCTAATTATACAAGTCTTGCCACCTGCGGGTCAATTGGCTCTCCCCCAAACAAGCATCTCTAACATCTTTGTGCACAGAGATGGAAAAAAGTGCTGAACTGTGTTGAGATCAGAGGCATGATTGTTTCCTCATGTGCTAAAAGCAAAACTGACAGGGAAAACCAGCCTTCAGATAAACAATATGCAACAGGCTTTTCCACAGAATTTTGAATTGCCAGCTACATTCCAGAGACTCATTTTGATCTGGAGCTCATTAATGAAACAGTCATATCTTCTATTCCTTGTTTCCCTAGAATACTGCTGGCAGGATAACAGGGCCTGCTTGGAGAACCAGTCTTAAACTTGTCTTCAGAACATGTCATTGTTTATACATGGGCACAGTGGTTAGATTTCCCTATTGCATCAAGGAACATTTTTTAAACAGTGGCTTCTTAGATAAGCCACATGTTAGGCAAGATTCTAGCTTCACCCTGAGCAGTAGGCCAGAGTTTATAAACTATGGGACGAACCAAAGAAACAGCATTGTAGCTTAAAGCGATGTGTGAATTCATCCAATAATGGCTTGTGAAAATTTTGTGAAATCTTTGAGAGGGGGGAGGGAGGGAGGGGGAGAGAGAGAGAGAGAGAGAGAGACTCAAAATTACAGAAAGGAAATTGTTATGTCAGCGTTGCACACCACTTCCTATACAACATAGGATGCTCAATATCATTTATTGCAAGGCAAAGGACACTCGTCATTGGACCTACTCCAAGAATTTGACTGAAGAGCAAGGCATAGAGAGGGTTGACTGCCCCATTGACCCCTGCCCCAAGGGATCCAAGCACCATGTAGGGCCATTCGGGAGCATTGTACTTCAAAATCCTGGTCACATTAGCAGGTGCGACTTCTTCCTCATCCTTTTCATGAATTTGTTCCTTTGGAAAAGGAAAGAGAGAAACATTAGCATTCAAGACTGTTGATACCAGAGGACAACAGCAAATGGCTTTCCATTACCTCCCCTTCCCCACCCCCGCGCCATTTTTCCTCAGGATTAAATCAAAAAGAGAGGGGAAATGAAAGCAGCTTCCAACATTATGAGGCAAAGTCTTTGCCTCTTTCCTGCATGCTGGGGGAATATCCCACGCACGTACATAAAAAGGTGAGGATGGGATATAGCAGCCCAATGCTACTTTTATCATTTTTATGAAAGCCTCTGGAGCAGCAGACATCTCTGCCTCATTATAGATCTTTAGATTCTGAGGGAATCACTTCACAGTATTCCTAACAAAGGTGAGGTTGTCAACACTTCTTTCAGCAGGAGGGACTCCCATTTAAGTGCAGCCACCAGGAAAGCCTTTTCTTTGTCCTTCCCCACCCAGCTTCTGACTCCCCTGGGATACAGGAAAGGGTCTCTCGGTTGGATTTTAGGCCTTGAGCAAGCTGTTTCCTAAATTGATGTGGACCTACATCGAGCGTTGAGGCCTAGAGGTGGAGTTCTCGCCTCACAATCCGGAGGCTGTGAGTTCAATCCCAGGTAGAGGCAGATACTTCTCTTTCTGGGCACAATAATGAGAATATATCTGCTGAATGTAACTCCGCATTGGCGACAGGAAAGGCATCCAGCCAGTAAACACTCAGCTCCATTCAGTTGCCCTGACTCCACCATGTAAGGGATTATGGTGTCATTAAAAGAACATGATGATGATGATGTGGACTTATATTGTGTAGACCTTTAATATCATCACGCACTCTTTGTAGTCAAATTAATAGTCGAAATTAATATTTTATTCCAACCCATAACAGTCACTAATCTTGTCACTGCTACGTTTGAACCAATTATATTTTCCAAAGACTCTTCACTGGATGCCTCCAGGAGAACGGCTTGCAAACATTTGGTCCCCAACAAAACTATCACTGAGGCCAGGTCTAGTATAATGAGATGGGAAGAGACTTAAAACAGAAGCTTCTCTTGGTCTTGCAGTGACTCTGACTGACCTTGATAAATGGCATTTCATCTTCTTCATAGTGAGATACGCTATAGTTGCGCTCTGAATAGGATCCTACAATTGATGCTGGATGGTCAGGGACTATGTTTGACAACTGAGATCTGGAACGCTGTCGAAGAGATGCTCTACGAAAGAGAGAAAAGTCCAGTCACACTCTTGTCTGTCTCAGGGGTTCAGGAAATGATGCATTTCTTATATAATTTTATTATACACTATAAAATGCCACCATGAGCTTTGTTCTGATGCCACTGCTATATTCTTATTGCATCTGATATTTGAGATTATGGTTCAGTTTAAGTCATCAGTTTAAGAGCTGCGGTGGTGCAGCGGTTAGAATGCAGTACTGCAGGCAACCCTGCTGACTGCTGTCTGTCAGCAGTTCGGCAGTTCGATTCTCTCCGGCTCAAGGTAGACTCAGCCTTCCATCCTTCTGAGGTCAGTGCACTGAGGACCCAGATGGTTGGGGGCAATAGGCTGACTCTGTAAATTGCTCAAAGAGGGCTGTAAAGTACTGTGAAGCGGTATATAAGTCTCAGTGCTCTTGCTATCCAGAGACCCAGAGTATCTCATTTTTCACACAAATGAGTGACAAAAAAAATCCTCAAGGCCAGAAAAAAAGTTCAATACACTTGAGGAATCCACTTGGTATGGCAGCAGTCCCTTTTCCCCCCAAGTTTTGCACAGAAAGGAACCTTTTCTTTAAAAAAAAGAAGGGAGGTACTGCATCTATAAACATTCCTCCTTTCAGTATTAATATTAAGGCACACAGCCTTAATATTTATGGTCTCAATTCATGATAGTTGGCATAAATGAATTTTTTAGTTCCATGCCCACGTCTCTCACACATCTGCAGTTTAAGAGAGGATTTAAAAAATCCCTTCAAAATCCCCATTGTCTATGTAGGCAGAGAAATTGGGAAGATCAGGTTACTGTATCCAGGGGGAGAAGACATCACATCTTTGCCATTTCTTGGGCCAGGGCTCCATTGTCCCAAAATAAAACTTTCAGATCCCCCAAATAAATGAATTTTTTTAAAAAATTACAATTTAGGTGGCTAAAAGTCATATAATTTGAATTATTTGGGTTTTTGAAAGTCTAAAAGGATTTCTGATCTTCAATATTTTTGTTTGCTTTCAAGGCAATGCCTGTAGGTTATATATTGTCATATTTCATCCTTATATGTCCTAGATCTAGTATCTTTCCAATTCCTTTCCTTTTCCCTTTCCTTTCCAATGGTCCAAGAAGAATTCAAAGGAAATACAGACACTTTCTTAGGATAACATTTCCTGCAAAATAAGCCTGAACACCATATTTGACATTCCCTTCAACATATCATAAAATGGAAGGGGGGATCCATTATTACCAACATTATCTTTATTCAGAACCAGAAGCTTCTGATTCTGTACTTGTAAAGAACAAAGAGAATTTCACTACATTATTTATAGACATGGGTATGGATCTACTTCCTTTTCTAACAGATTCTCTTAAGTTTCAAACCTTCACACAGCCAGATGTTATCAAATGTTTTGCCATATGTTCTTGTTTAAATTCTAAGATTATTTTGGATCAATCAGGCTTACCGCAAGCTTGCTTGATAGCTTCCCCTGCTGAAAGACTGCATTTTTTCAAGTCTCGGGTCAGATACTATAAATACAATAATAGAAGATTTATGGCAACAATCAAAGGTAAGAGAATCCAAGAGAGAGAAAAAAATCTAGTCAAGTAACATTAACTTCAAGCAAATCTGTGATGACCCAGGGTGGGATACAAAACAAACACAGTCACAGAAAACAGGTGAAGCCCCTTTTATTCCTTCACTTTGCTTCCAAGCTCCAAATATCTTTGATGGAAGACAAAAAAAACTCCTACACAGTTACACAGAGAAGGAAAAAAGCAACACAAACCAGGCAAGATAAAGGCTGGAGGACGTCCACAGATAACACACACTGGGAAGGACGCCAAACTCAGAGAGGAACTATAAACTAGAGATATTTACACGATTTGTTTCCAGTGTCTGCCAGTACACAGGTCCAAACTCTTATTCAGTTGTGACACCTGCAGCCCATGAAGAGGATCAAGGCCCTCTCCTCCTGAGGAGACCATGTCTCTCCCTTATCCTCTTTCTCCCTACGTGCCCTAGGATGGATAGGGGATGGGCCTGGATCCTCCTCTGACTGTTCAGCCGGCCTCTGCCCTTCCCCAGCCTCCTCCACAACCTCTGGAGTCACACCTCCACTCCCTGTCAGCTGTTCCTCCTCTCCCTCAGAGTCAGTCTCCACCAGGGGCATGACAAAATCTGTTATAAGACTGAATGTTCCAAAGATGCTTTTTCCAGAAGGCAACTAGACTTTCTGGTTTTTTTTTTCTTTGAAGACATTTTGCTTCTTATCCAAGAAGCTTCTTCAGCTTTGACTACATGTTGGGGAATGGAAAGATTCATATTCATTCCCCACCTTCCACTCTGAGCTGAAGAAGCTTCTTGGATGAGAAGCAAAACATTTTCAAAAGAAGAAACAAGAAAGTCCAGTTCAGAAGTGATATTCAGCAGGTTCTGACCAGTTCTTGAGATCCGGTAGTGGAAATTTTGAGTAGTTTGGAGAACCGGCAAATCCCACCTCTGACTGGAGATTTTACAGTATCCTTCCCCTGCCACGCCCAACCAAGCCACGCCCACAGAAAATGGAATCCCACCACTGGTCCAGTTGCCTCCTGAAAAAGCCGGACAACCATGACCTGGATGACTGAGAATCTCCATAGACTATAAGACTGAACATTTCTGTATGGTACTTAACACGTGCATCTCCAGCCTGGTTTTTTTTTTCCTGATCATTTAAACAGTTGATAAAGCACCTTTTAAGCTCTTCTCACTTGGCAAACAAGCAGTCATCTCTTTTCCATATGGCAATTTTCATAACTTACAGTAACACTGAACTTTCTACAGAAATGTTAAGAAGACTAATTGTCTTCTGCTCACCAGGAGCAAAGGTGCAGAGAGATGCTGTTCATGGTTGCATCATTTCATGTTGAAAGTAGCCAACTGGGTTTATTTAAGCCCTCCCCTTTACCAAACTATCATTACAAACTCACCACAAGAAAGTCAAGAGGAAAGTTAATGTCATGCCCCTGGTGGAGTCTGACTCTGAGGAAGAGGAGGAACAGCCAACAGGGAGTGGGAGTGTGGCTCCAGAGGTGGTAGAGGAGGCTGGGGAAGGGCAGAGGCTGGCTGAGCAGACAGAGGAGGACCCAGGCCCATCCCCTATCCATCCTAGGTCACGCAGGGAGGAGAGGACCAGGGAAAAGCGAGGTCTACTCAAGAGGAGATTACCATGATCCTCCTCCTTGCAGGTGGGAGCTATGTATATAAGTTTGCAACTGCGCTGTTGGAATTGCTGAAGCCAATTAGTGTTCACCTTGAAAGAGGCTTATCTTTGTTGGAGTTCTTCCCATGGACTTTTCTCAGTTATTTTCCTAGAGTTTATAATTAGTTATCTTGGCTTGCTTTAGAACTCTCATCAATGCGATTTGTTTTGATTTTCTGTTTGCCTCATTATTTACTTTTTGTGACATTATTTACTTTTGCCTAATAAAACAGTGAAGTTAAGTTGAAGGCTTTGCCGGACTTTAATATATGTTTTGGGTTTTGGGTTATTTTGAGTGACTACGGGTCATCACAGTTAATCTAATACCACTCCATGTTTTATATGGAGAAAAAATTTCTTCCCTCTCAAATGGAACAGCCCGGCACAAAGTTTGCCTGTTTTCTTTGATATTGTTAAAATAAAGCCTATTTCCAGTGAGATATTTGATAATAGATTTCAATACACAAGGAAGAACCCTGAACAGGTGGTGCTAAGGTGCTGCTAGTGACGTTAATAAACAGGTAGTTGTTAGGAGCAGAAAGTCTGCCTCATCGTGAGCTTCTGTACCAATCAGATCCTGCACTATAAATGTAAATAGTTGGAGATGGGTTATCATTGGAAAAAGGCAGCTGTGGTTAGAATGAACATTGCAAGCTAATTCAGCTCACTATCAGGAGTTCCATCCTGACCAGGCTCAAGGTTGACTCAGCCTTCCATCCTTCCAAGGGCACTAAAATGAGGACTCAGATTGTTGGGGGCAATAGGCTGACTCTGTAAATCACTTAGAGAGAGCTTGTTAGTGTTTGGGGATAAACCCCCGAGCTGAGTGCACAGCAGCAGT